ATAAAATAATATTACTATGGTTCAGGAGAAAGTAAGAGTATCTACTCGGACACTCCAACAGTGGAAGTGTGTTGAATCAAGAAGACACAGTAAACGTCTTTATTATGGGCGCTTTATTCTGTTTCCGCTTATGAAAGGACAAGCCGACACAATAGGGATTGCAATCCGAAGAGCTTTACTTGGAGAAGTAGAAGGAATATGTATCACACGTGTAAAATCTGAGAACGTAACTCACGAATATTCTACTATAACGGGTATTCAAGAATCGGTCCACGAAATTTTAATGAATTTGAAAGAAATTGTATTGAGAAGTAATCTATATGGGACGTGATGCGTTTATTTGTGTCAAAGGTCCTCGATATGTAACTGCTCAAGATATCATCTTACCGCCTTATGTAGAAATCGTCGACAATATACAACATATAGCTAACTTGACATAACCAATTAATTTGTCTATTGGATCTTTGTATTTTTTTTATTAGGAATTTGTTTTTTTATATATATTTTTATTGGGGTTTGTAAAACGTTGTTTCACTATTTTATATGAGGACATCATTATGTTAATTCTAAATAAAAAAGAATCACATATGAGTTCATTTTTTCTATATTTTACTTCATTTATGCAATGATATGTTTAATAAATAAATTAATTTATTTTACAAATTAATTTATTTTATCAAACGCACGTGCACTTTTTCTCACGTGCATTTCCATTTCTATTTTTAATCGAACTGAGTTGTTAAACGCTTGTTAGTTTTTTGTTCTTATTAATTTTATGTGTAAATTTGAGGTGATAGGCAATAGTTATTTGTACATTTATACATGTAGATTAGAAAAAAATCTTTATTATTCTAATTTTAAATAATTTTTTTATTTACTATATTAGTTTTTTTAATATAATATATAAGTATCATATTGAACAAATAAAACAAGAAATATTTTAATTATATAATATTTAATATGTAAGAAATGTAACTCAATTGGTAAATTAATAGGTAATCTTGGGATAAAATAATGAGTGATTTTTGAAAAAATAAATTATAGGAACTAAAAAGTTCACGTGTTTAATATATTTTTAATACAAAAATTGTAAACACAATTGCTCAATAAATACTACATAAAAAATATAAGAAATCTTATATCCTCCGTATATATAATTAAAAAACATAACTTTTCTCAATTCAACATAAGCAAATCAATGCAAATAATATATTTTAAAAAATTTTATGAACAAAAGTTGACTCGACAATATTATTAATGAATTTATGAATTGTAAATATTTAATTAAAAATTTGTAATTAAATATAATATAATATAGGATATACATATATAGTTAAATCAATTTTATTAAGTATAAAATAACATAAGATAAACTTGTGCATGTTTTCCATACATAAATTTGAAACAATTCATATAAAAAAAAAGTAAAAAAATGGGTGTAAACTTCTAACTGTTCACACATTTTGGCTAGAGCGCTCAAATCTGATATATGTTTGACACGAGTTTGTCGTAATGCTGAAACTATGGCAAATGCACCTTAGGGTACAAACGAAGCGAAGCAATGTCAAGTCATAGATAAAATGAAAAGCTAGGCCAGAGAAAGGAAATGAAATAACATTAACTATGTGAAGTCAATTACTGCTGCAAAATGAACCCTATAATGGTGGTACCATATATGTATTCAGTTATTATGAAAATGACTTAGTTAATTAATATTTCATCAAACAATGGAAAAAATTCTAAAACTTTTTAATCTAATAATTCGTATAAAAAGTATAATTTTATCAAATATATTAAATTATATTTAATCTTATGTGATTATATTAATTGTAGCCTAATAAATAAGATAATTTGATTCCATCATTATATAAAACATATATAAACAATAACATACTACGTATAAATGTGCTTTAGTTACTTAGCAAATAAAATATTATTTGTCTATAGAATAAGAAACAAATAATATAATAGTAATGCAATGAGAAAAAGAAAACATGCTAATTTTCTTAGAAAAGTATGAATATCAATATTTACAAACAAAAAGTCTTTTAAAATTACTAATTTTTTGTTGCTAGCATTTGAATATATGGACTCTATAAGAAATTGGTTCTCATAAATAATGATCATATATTATTTATTTTCAATTTAAATAATTAAAAAATCTAAAAATTTGTATACATGATGTATATTTTAATCTTGACTCAATAATAATAAACTTTACAAATGATTAAAAGTATCGTCATATAATGGAATTCTAATCTTCTGTTGTCAAATATTTTAACAAATGATATGCTTCTCAATATTTTCTCATTGTTTTGTTTTTATCATTGCAAAAAATAGATTATATTGTTCTTCTATATTCTAGATAAATAACACTGAAAATGAAATGTAGGAGTATCAAAACAGTTTTGAATGTTAGAATTAAGTTGTCACTTTTTATAGAAATATTTATAATTTCATTGGTGTATTGTGCTTGAACATATGTGCCATTACTTTAGAGGTACTTTCAGGTAATGTATGATGATTTTAAAAAATAATTTAGCACCTCGGGAGAAGTACATTTAACCAAGATTTTGGAAAATCAACTTTTATTTGGAGATAAAATTCATTCCCACCTCGTGGGGCGATGCATCAATGAGGTAGACACCAATATATCTAGAGATAGAGGAATGTAATAGTTTATACAGTGATAAAAAATATCAGCAATTTTAGTGACACCGTTAGTTATTTCATAGAGATATTTATCCTTTCTTAGTAGAAGTACCTTGTTATAAAGATCATACGATCATGAAGTTTGACTATATGTTGGGTCAGAATGTTTCTTAAGTGTTTGAATAAAATTAACGTTTTGCCAAATTAATTAAGAGAAATTTTACAATAGTATTGATGTATTGGACTCCAACGACTATGAATGTTCTTATGAGAACGTTAAAACTAAAATGTAAGAAAATCTTTGTGTTTTTTTATTAGGAATTTGTTTTTTATATATATTTTTGTTGGGACATCATTATGTTAATTCTAAATAAAAAAAATCACATATGAGTTTATTTTTTCTATATTTTACTTCATTTATGCAATGATATGTTTAATAAATAAATTAATTTATTTTACAAACTTACTCCGCAAAAATCATTCAACACCACGTGCATCGCACGTGCACTTTACTAGTTGATTGTAAAATATACGGCTTAGGTCATCTCATCTCCGACACTATAAACTATA